CCTGAATAACATAAATACCAAATAAATAACAGTAAGAAAAATCTTAATACAATTCAAAGAAGTCCAAATAGCAGCATAACAAAAAAATACATGGATAAACAAACTAAACATAACAGGAAAAGTAAGAAAGAAAAACAAATAAATACAGGGGGAAAAAAACTACAATGCAAGGGGCTTAATCATCAAAAAATACCTTCAAAAGATTACATAGTTTAAGGGCAATGGCTACAAAAGTACAAGCTAAGGAGTTTGTATTCAAAGTCAAAAAAAAAAAAGCAAACACACTGTGTGTATTTAATGTTTCAAAAAAAGGACCTCAGATGTGTATATCTTCTAAATTCTGATTATATTACTGCTCTAACATAACACTTAATTTCAGTTTCAACTAAGTAGAAATTAACTTCTTTTCTGTTTAGTAATGATCGTCTCTTTCTCTTCCACTTGATTTGTGTATATAGTGCATATTTAAGGTAACAATGCAATACATCATATCATATTATTAATATTAATAATATGACTATTTAGTCAGTATTGATTAAATAGGAGGGGGAAATCCTGCCCACACCCAGCTAGGGGAAAAAAATGATAAAAGCACTGATGTTCATTACTGAAGTAGTATATGTGATATTATATGTATATGTGATATTATATACGTGATACAAAATAATAATAATAATAATAATAATATCACGTATATAATAACATCCTCAACAAACAAAAAAGAGATTACCTTAGATAAAGTTTGATTATTATGTAACTACATACAGTAGGCTAGCTGTCAAAAGTTTGGACACATTACTATTTTTAATATATGTCTCTTATGCTCATTAAACCTGCATTTATTTGATCAAAAATACAGGGGGAAACAGTAATATTCTCCAAGGATGTGTTAAAATGATTTTTAAAAAAAAGTGATAAAGACTTATATTGGTTTTTATTGGTTTATTGGACAAGTTTTTTTTTTTTTTACAACTTTTTATTCATCACAAATCCTGAAAAAAGTATCACGGGTTATAAAATAAATATTAAGCAGCAAAACTGTTTCTAACATTGAATGATTTTTCAATGGTCATGTGACACTGAAGACTGGAGTAATGACTGATGAAAATTCAGCCTTGCATCACAGAAATAGATTATATTTTAAAGTGTAGTAAAATAGAAAAACATTATTTTAAATTGTAATAATATTCTGCAATACTGTTTTGTTTTTTTTATCAAATAAATGCAAGCTTGGTGAGCATACGAGACTTCTTTCAAAAACATAAAAAAATAGGAATGTGTCCAAACTTTTGACTGGCACTGTTACTGTAAAAACAAACACAATTTAGAATTAAATGTATAAATAAAAAGGTTAGGAATCATATTTGTTTCAAGTGCTTTTTATTGGGGGTGGGGGGCCTCCAACATGAATTTTGCTTTGGGCCTCCAAATGTCTAGAACTGGCCCTGCTCCTAACTCACTATTTTAAATCCTGTAGAAACTGAGAGAGTGCTCTTCTGTGTGGATTGTAAGTGCTATCAATCGAGCAATCACTGACAGAGACCCCTGGGGGATATTAAAGCACTGCATTGAAGAACTGGGACCAGGAGGAAAATGCAAAAGCATCAACTTCATCTGTACAAAGACTGATGAGATCAATACAGGAGCGTATATTAGGTATTTTGTGAATATTATAGGAAATGAAGGGCTGGGAAGTGGTTAATTCTGAGTCTAATTCTAGTAACCTAATAAGCATGCAACACAACTTTTTTTTATTTATTTTTTAGATCTGCACGGCTTTCAAGAGACCAAATCTCAGAAGACAAGGTTTGGAATGTAGAAGGACTGTGCTAGCAGTGTTTCTGTAGAATGGCCCCTTTGTTTTCATAGACCAGTATAATTTAGCTGTCAGTTTCCCCTGTAAGTTTGTACTGTTGGTTTTACTTATGTCAGTGAGAGCTCATATCACTGTAACTGCAATTTAATGAATATAATACTTTACTGAGATGAAAAGGAGAATCTGTATAGTACATAACTCATGAATCAGATTTTACAGTAGACCTATCTGCATGCATGCATACATACATACATACATACATACATATGTGCATGCGTTTGTTTTGTTTTGGATCATTCTTTAGGATCAGAAAAAGGCATGCATACTTCATAGAAATGATCACGCCAAGACCAGAGTCAAAGAAAAGTTTAAAAATTCTGAAATCAAGGTATTAATTCTTGCCTAATTTTCTTTGTTACCATGACCTTTTTAAAAAGCTCTACTGATGTTTATTTCTTTCTTTCTTTCTTTCTTTTCTTTTTTAGAAAATATGCATTACTGACAATCAGTTTCAAGTTTTTACTGTAAGTTCCAATGCATTCTTTGACCACAATTTAAATCTGGAATCAAGTGAAACAGGTAAACGATCCTCTGTCTACTACTTTAATTTTACCACTTGATTTAATCATGACAAAAAAAATAATCATGTCAAACTATTGCTTGCATATTTTTTAATCCCAAGTTAAAAAATATTTTATAAAGCGAGATAAAGCACTGCAAAAATAAGTCCAAATCACATCCTTGTGTTTATTTGTAGAAATCCCAAAGCTGCAGGATGATCTGAGGAATCTTAACAAGAGCATTAACAGAGAACTGACCAGAGATTATGTCAATAAAGCAAAGGGAGTTTTGTCCTTGATCCAAAGCGGCCAGCTGGATACAGACAAGAAAACGGTACGAGTCAGAATTAGAATCTTCAGAATGCTGCCATTGTGTATTATTCTGTAATTCACTGCTGTTGTATGGATGTGTTTTAGATTGAAATGAAAATCAACATCCGCATCAAATTTGAGAAGAACCTAATGAAGTCACTTATTGAACTGGACAAATATTTTGACAGCATTTATAATGATCTGGAGCAGCATCTCTCAAAGGGAGTGGAAGAATCTGTGCAATTATGTGTTGCTTCCACAAAGGCACTGATAGCACCTGTGAGTGTGATTCAAATGTTTTGCATATCACCATTTTCTTGTCCTTGTAACACTGTTTTTTTTTTGTTACTCAGAATAAAGATGGAAGGGGGTTCCATAAAATCCTTGGAGCGTTGTGCAAGAACTACGGATGCTATTGGTCAAAAAATTGGGATGTAGTTCTAGACCTGAACAAAATATTGGCCAAACATTTGCAGAAATGCATTGATGATGATTTCTGTCAAATTTTTCCGTAAGTTCTGTTTTATCATTCCTTTTCTAGTCTCCCTTTGTGTAGTTTAGAATAAAATGCAATAAACTATGTACAATGCTTGTTGTTGATTTTTACTGCATTAACGTGATCAAGTTAAGTTTTTATGTTTAAGTACTTTTAAATAACATTGTTAATTATATTGTTGGCATTTTGTTTACAAATTATTAACGTTACATTGGAGCACAAACTGGAGCAAAGCTTGTAAACATGGACCAACTGTAGATTGCATGTAGAGCAGCAAACCAGGAAATGAGACAGATGCCCAGGAAGATTCTGATTGGGTTTAGTTTTGTTGTGGCAGATAATGTGTGCTCAATTAATTTGAGGCCAAATGTTTTGTCAAGGGAGCAACATCCTTATGTTGTCACACATGACATCCGTGCAGGATCCAAAATATGAGTGGGTTTGAACTGGTTTTCCTTCTAGTGATGGGTCATTTAGACCAGCCACATACACTCTGTAAAGGACAAATAAATGATTTGCTCACCTCCAAAGTTCTTTCTGGTCTGAATCTTTCGTTAATTTGTCATATGACAGCAGCATATGTTAAACAATAGCAATATAAAGCAAACTTTGTGTGTTTGGTAATTTGGCCTTTCCCATCACTATTTCCTTCCAGTAATTCTCAGATTATATATCAAGAATTACAACTATATTCTGTTCAACTACTGTTTTTAAAATAAACTCAAAATTGATTTTTTTTTTTTTTTTTT